GAATACAGGGTTTTTTCTTGTTTTGTTTTTTTAAATTGAAGTCCAGTTCCATCTACACTCTACCAGACTGCATATCCTATTCCTTTATCTATTAGGTATTCCCCAACTGAGGATTAGTGTTTTTAAGTACAATCTGCAAATCTGTTCAAAGAATAGTTAGAACATTGAATGTACAGTTAAAGCTTTGCAGCAGCCAACTGCAAAAATAAGGAATCCAATCTTGAAAAGAAACACTACTGCTTCCCATACCTTTTATAAATGTATTTAAAAAGAATGAATTAATTAATAAAACATATCAAGGTTTTAAGACTTGTTTTGAGCCTACCTTATTGTGGAAATTGCATGCACCTGGTTTGGCAAATAAATTCCAAAACCTTTATACATTTGTAAATATTTTGCACTTGCTATTGCTGTACTTTTTTCAATAGGCCAAATTTAGAAGTGAACTGACCTTATTTGATCAAAGGGAATGGTGAAAAATAACCTAGTGACAATTCACTGAGGTTTAGTGAATTCACTGAATTTACTAAGCAACAGAAATATTCTAAATTAAGGTGCTTATCCCCTACCCTCTGAGTGATTTACTCTCAAGAGACAAAGGCTGTACATGTCTTTCATCTACATGAATTAAGTCTTCAAGTATTTTATGAGTACAGAAGTAACAGTTAACAACTACTATATTACCTGTGTCCCAGGCACTGTGCTTCATGCTTTCTTTATTACCTAATCCTCAGAACAGTTCTATTATTTTCTCCATTTTAACAGATGGGGAAGCTGAGACAGAGGTTAGGTGAGTTGCCAACAGTCATATAACTTAAAAATAGCAGAGCTAAGATTTGAACTGAGGCAGCCAGACTCCAGAATCCATGCTCTAGAGATGACTGTCAAACAACAGCTGTGCTAAAGCTAGTCCTGGGTAGTTGAACTTCATAAGACTTCCAGGAAGTTCTACAGATCAAGTATCTAGATCTTTTATGGGATATAAATGACATCAACTAAATGAACTTGTTGATGTCCTAAGAGAAGTTCTGACAAATTCATGCTGTAGAAAATGATTTTACTAACTATACTTCCTTTTAAGCAGATATTAATGGTACAGAATGCATTTACATCATAGTTAGTAGGCACGATTACTTAGTATTCCTTAATTTGATTCAATTAATATTTCACCTACTCTTCTCTTAGAAGCTATCTTTAGGCTGTCAACAGGTTGTCAGGTAATTATTTTAAAATCCAATTAAGGTGGCAGAAAACTTGTCAAAAAGTTAACAAAATTAAAAATTGTATCTAATAAGCTTTCTAGCTTTCTAGCTGTCATTTTCTAGTAGATTCATCAGGAACTCATTTACTTGGTATCACATCTGAAAGTTTAGGGTGGACCTAGATTTAAATAAAGGATAATCACATATTCACGTATCCACTCTGAAGGAAAAGGGGGAAGTTAAAATGTTAATTGATACATTTAGGGATTCTGTTTCCTTTACAATTACATATTGCATATTTTGTCCAGAGTAACTAAAGGGAGACAAGACTCTTACCACTTTACATGTATGAATAAGAACATCATTTGTACACATACTTTATAACCTAGGATATCAATGTACTATACTTGGATTGAGTTTCAAAACAATTTGAACGTAGTTCCTTTAAGTAAGGAATGAGGGCTCCAGTTTATTACATCCCTATACTGCTTACCATTTATCGCCTTCATTTGTTACGTGACCTGCCAGACTTCTGAAGGCATTTGAATTTGTAATTAATTATCTAGATTAGGGTTCTTAAACATTTTCTGTAGGGCCAGATAGTAAATATTTTAGGCTTTGCAATGGTAACAAGCAAAATCAAGGATATTACTTACAGAACGAGGTAAAGCAAATTGCCCTATTTTTTTTTTCAAACTGTATCCAGCTTTATTAACGATACTTTCCATAAACAATCATGGTATTTCAGGCAGCACAGGGCAGACAATCATTAACAGTATATAACTTTCAAACTCCTTTCTTCAATGGACTACCAAAAAGCAGAAAGCCACTAGAAAACCCAATGAAATCTTCATCTGATGCTCTGAACAGGGACAGTTTAGAGTGAGGGTTGACATTTCACATTTAGAATGTTGTTTAACAACTTTTCACAAGCTGGACCTTTCAGGAAGTGAAAGAAAATGGCGGAAGTTATCTGAAGAGCCACAATCTAGAAATGGAACCACTTCTCTTTTGACAGGTGCCATCTCAGTGGCATCACTGGGAAAGTCCAGATTGCCTGACACTGGTAACCAATGATTGGGAGTCAGGTCCCAACAGATGTCTGGGCTTAAGGGAGTTAAGTCTGTGCTGAAAGATGGAAAGGGAGAAGAGGACATAAAAATGAATTTCTTTTTCCATACCACAAGGCTTTTGTGCCAAGGTGGCCATGTGTGTCAAAGGGAATCCCTCCTAGGAGCCAAGAGGAAGTCTCTCAAAACTAGAAGGGAAAGGTGTTTTCCCCACATCAATCCAGATTTGGAGGCATTCTATTAGTGACATATGCCCCTTCCCCCAAAAATCAACAATGAATTGTTCTGTGTGCTAACAACATAGCTTAACAACAACAACAAAAAAAAGGAAAGCAAAATTCTGCATTTTTACAAAACTGACAAAAAATAGTATTAAACTGTACAGTCACCAGTATGCAGTTATAAAAAATGCACACACTTCACTTGGCATCTCCAGCACCTTCAGTTTTCTGTGCCTGGTCTGTTTTGGTATCTCCATTTTTCTGCAGTTATTCCTCTCCTTGCCAGCATCAGCTTTTCCCTTTTTCCCTTTGGGTACCTTCTCTCCCTTCTTTGCAGGGGCCTTTTTAGGCTTGGGCTCTGGCTTTGGAGGAGCAGGTTTAGCAGACAACCTCGCAGATCTTCTCTGTGGTTTGTCCTTCACCTTGGCTTTATCTCCTTTAGCATCCCCTTCAGCCTTTCTCTTGGACATGGTGGTGGTGGCGATGGCAGTGGCGGGATGTAGGTACTGGGTGCTGGATGCAGCGGCACGCAGGGTTTGGTTGGCATGCAGGGTTTGGTTGGATGGGGGTCGTTCTTGCCTCTTCTTCACATTGCTCCTACACTTTTTTAATTGACAAAATTCAAAATATAGTCCAATTTTTTGTAACGCCTTTTTTGGTGAGAATAGCATTGCCTTTAATTAGGGTTCTAAGTAAATGTTCCCTGTGATCAAAATCAGTTGTAAATGATTGCCTGTTAAGGGTTATCATTAACCATCATTAACCATTAATACTAATGGTAATGAGATTTTGCATATTTTACCTTTAGAAATATCTTCTCATACAGATAGGTATTGCCAAATACTGCTATCAATCCAGGGGCACATGAAATTAATTGAGCATATTCATTAGTTGGAAAGCATTTGTAAAACTCTATTAGATTCTTCCCTTGAAATTTGCCTTTTAGCGTGCCATTATTTTAATCACTTCTTACTAAAAATTAGATTGCATAACCTCAATTGCAGTTATATAGATTTTGAAAAGGAGAAATTTTCTTTGCACTTGCACCAAGGTCCCTAAAAATGCTGAACTCAGAAAATATATTTGCTACAATTTGTGAGAATGGAAATCTTGCTTCTTGTTTTATCTTCTGATAGCATGACAAATGTGTAAAGATACTGTGCTTCAAATATTGTCAAAATGACTGTACCATAGTATATTTCATATTAAAGTTGTTTTGCCTTGTGTTTTAGGCCATTCTTGCATTGCTGTAAAGAAATACCTGATACTGGGTAATTTTTAAGAGGTGTAATTGGTTCTGCAGGCTATAGGAAGCACAGCACTGGCATCTGCTTCTGGGGAGGCCCCAGGAAGCTTTTACTCATGGTAGAAGGCAAAACAGGGGCAGGCACTTCACATGGCAAAAGCAGGAGCAAGAGTGTGGGGGCACAGGCCACATACTTTTAAACAACCGGCTCATGAGAACTCATTATCATGAGGACACCACCAAGGGGATGGTGCTAAACCATTCATGAGGGCCACAGATAGGGACTCACACCTGTAACCCTAATGCTGTGGGAAGCCAAGATGGGAAGATCTCAAGCTTAGGAGTTCAAGGCTACATTGAGCTGTGACTGTCTTTGCACTCCAGCCTGGGCAACAGAGCAAGACCTTGTCTCTAAGCAAAAATAAAAATAGATTCAAAAAACCATCTAGAATCATTTTCTAAGTGACTATGTTGCTTTCAATGTCCTTAACTCTTTGAGCAACTGTTCTTGCCAAAGGCCAGTAGTCTTTATCAAGTTTATTTTCTCTGGACACATTACTTCAGCTGCTGCATCCAAACACAACTAATTTACCATGAATAAATGGCTTTCCTTGCTTGGCTAACAAATGATTCACTTGGAGACTTACTTTGGTTGCAGCCTCATTTTCATGTTGTGAAGAAAGTCTGCTTTGATATTTCCATTTTAAATTTTCTAATTTTTCTGACAGTTGCTTGCCTATGAGTTGGGAATACTGTGATGAGTGGTTTGTCTGGTAATGTCAACAGTTATTTTATTCTTTTAGCATAGCTATAGATGCTTTGTCATCTAATTCAACATCAAAATAATTTACACCCTACTATATTTTAAAAATACAACAAAATCCACTTGGAACATGGTATGTTCCAATCAAACTTTATATGAACTCTGAAACTCTTAATATCATACAATTTTTTTTTTTTTTTTGAGACGGAGTCTCACTCTGTCACCCAGAGTTGAGTACAATGGCATGGTTTCAGCTCAATGCAAACTCTGCCTCCCAGGTTCAAGTGATTCTCCTGCCTGAGCCTCCCGGGTAGCTGGGACTTATAGGTGCATGCCACCACACCTGGCTAAGTTTTTGTATTTTTAGTAGAGACAGGGTTTCACTATGTTGGCCAGGCTGGTCTCAAACTCCTAACCTTGTGATCCACCCACCTCAGCCTCCCAAAGTGCTGGGATTACAGGCATGAGCCACTGCGAACGGCACAATTCAATTTTTTAAATTGATACATAGTAGATATCATACAATTTTCACATATCACAAAATGTTCTTTTATTTTTCAACCAATGGAAAATATAAGAACATTATTAGGTCACAGGCCATATGCACACGGGCGGTGGGTAAGATTTGGCCTGCAGGATGTAGTTTGCCTGCCCTGTTCTAAATAACTTTATTTTTTATTACTTTTATGGTGATAATTGGTAGTAAAGGAGCAGTAATATAAAGGACAACTACAAAGTGGTGTTAGTGCCTTCCTAGTCAGTATTCAATTACCCTGCCTTCGTAAATGATTTTCCCTGAAAGAAAATATTTAATCATCATATTTATCTAATAAAAATTATATATAATTTAGATTATAAAATAATTACATGTTATAATTTAGATAACAGGGAATGTGTCTGGTAGACTTATTTTAGTTAAAGTTTAATTCGTAATCCTCAATTTATAAAATAAGGCAAAGTACAAGGGTTCAATAGTAAAAACTGAACACTAAAATTTTATTTAATAATACAAATTATATTTTGCTACATGTAAGTCTGGTAGGGAGATGGAGAAAACATTTCCAATTAAGTGTTTGAAGCAAGTTGTGTTTTTTCATCTGAAAAGGCTTCAGCTGTCCTCTGCCTTTTAAGAGGCGGATCTTCGCAATTCTCTGTAACAAATCCAGAAAACCTATTTTAGGTAAGATATTAACTGTTGAAGATGCTCTTAAAAAACAAACAATATAGGCATTTTTAAGATGTTTAAGCTAGTCAACTTAGGACATGAAATAACATTCTCGCAGATTTACTATTTTAATGAAAGAGCTTTCTATTAGACTGAACTAATACTGTACTAAAATTTGTTTAACAAGGAGGAACTAGTCACAATTGAATGGCAAGGTTTACATTTAATTTTCCAGAAACTGCTCACCTGGATTTCTGGTCTGGTTCTTGTAGAGTACAGCAGCAGGAATCTGAAAGGTGATGCACAGCATTTCCTTGTTTGGGGCCACATTTCTTACCAGGTGAACTGAACTGCATGCCTCCAGGGAAATGCCTAACACAGCTCCAGCTCTTTGACGAACATCCTCAGTAGGGTTAGCATCTTTGGAAAAGCTGTAACAGTGCACTATGGGAAGGATTTCACTGCTGCATGGCTGCTCATCTAAAAGTGATTTGAAAGCACTAAGAAACTCTATAGCTTTTGCTGGCAAGTTCATGACAATGTGCACAGAGGGTTTTCTTTCTTTTGACAGACTCAGCAGCTGCATTAACTCTTCTTTGATGGGTCCTTGGAGGAAGTCTTTCCCATCCAAGTTGAAGACTTTCACCTTTTGGTCCACTTTATTTAATTTACAATTGTGCAACAGCCACTTATGGGATTCAGGATTGAGATCATTGGCAAATACAGTGCAGTTTTTCTTTGCTACTGGAATGGCAAAGGGCCCAACCCCAGCAAAAACATCAAACAGGACATCCCCAGGCTTGAGAAGTTCTGTGATACGGCTGTGTTCTGTAGAGAGACGAGGATTCCAATAGACTTTCGAAAAATCAAACTCATAGGTGTAGTTGTTTTCTCGAACCTGAAGAAAGGTGTTATGCTTTTGGTTAATCTCCTTGGTCCTAAATCCTAACCATTGATATTGGATAGGTGTGTATACACACAGGCAAACACATACACATTTAAATTTACTACTATGAGAGCCAACAACAGTGCATTTAAAGGCATTTTTAAAGGTGTTTATGCTATTTCTAGAGCCATTTGATACACTGCATTAGACTTATTGGTGAGAAAAAAATAATCTCTTCAAAGCCAAATGTCTCTCCATCTCAATCCTAAAGGGCCATGGCTATAAATTAGTTACCAAATGATATGAGCAATTTTTCAGACCGGCCAACTAACTGGCTTAATTATACTCACTTATGTCACCAGATAGACAAGACCTACAGTTTTGAAACAACACACCACCCGTATCTTCATGGTGGGTAGCCAAGTTGCAGATAGTACTTTTATGCAGCAAACAAGCATCCCTCCTTATTTAGTTTTGTGTTTGTAAAAGGGAGCCAGGCTAGATGTGTCACTGAATTTTGAGGTATTTTACTATGTTTTTAGATACCTACAAAAACTTTGCAAATTTTGTCTCTAAATTAGAGCCAGTGTATAGAATGAATCATTCCCAGATTCTCTTTCCTTTCCCAAATTTGAGTTTTCATGGGTAAACCAAATATATACAGTGAAGCTAAGTCTTGAACAAAAGACTTTGTAACATTTCTTTTGGGTCTACTGTAGTAGACACCTTAAAAACCAGAAAATAAAACTGAAGTTACAGTCATGCAGTATGACCTCAGCCATCATCTTAAACTCCTTAATTTATGGATAAAGAATCAAAGGCCAGAAAATTCCTAAGTTCTATAAATCTGATAGATACATCTTCCATCAACTACTTTCCAGGACCTTAATTCCCAATTTGTATGTGTTTTTTTTTTTTCCTCCTCCCAACCATAACAGATGCTTCTGGCAAATTACTAAGGTTACAGAGGTAGAAATGTTTCTGCAAATTTCTGCCAACCAGAAGTCTTTCTGAGTATAACCTAGAAGGTTTAAATATATTTCGAGAACTGTTTTATACATACTGCTCTATAACTTGCTTTTTGTCACATATTGCTGTCAATTGTCCATTGTCAGCCTATCAATAGACAACTTATTTTAACAAATATGGAGCTCAAAAAACTTTAATGATGGAAATATTCCATTGTATCACTATATAAGAATTTAACCAATTCTTCTGAAAAGGCTTTATCAATGTTATTCCATCAACAGCATACATAAGGGCTCACATTCTCACAGATTCGTGTTGTGAGTATTTTAAATCTTTGTCATCTACTCTGATTCTAAACATAATCCTGATATACACCTTACTTGGAGATAATAAAACATACCTTTGTCATCATGTTCTGTTCTCCAGATAGCACTTCCATTTGGAAATTTCGGTACGTATTGTCAATACTGTTTATTTTATTTACTGCTGAGGTGATTCCTGGATTTTTGTCAATCATAACCTCGCCTAAAAGAAAAAATGAATCCATAAATACTGCCTATTGGTTGCAAAATAAAAGCTAAAATTGTTAATATGAAACAGAAATGAGTTGTATTTCTTTTGGTTGATAAAAACTGCACCTACAATGTAATGTGGCATGCAATTTAAAAAATTCAACAGATGACTAAATTTAATATTTGACAGTCGCCAACACACACACACAATGTTGGGTACATTTTTAAAGAAAACATTTTGAGTTTGGGTCTATCTAATATTTTTCCATGTTTTACTAAATCTTTTCAAATGAACCAATAAACAAGGAACCAAAAAGGTAGATCACAGGGAACTGGGGAAGAATGGAAAGAGATGTAAGGACCCTGGCAACAAATGGCCTCAGAAAACAGTAAAACATCTGCCAGTTCCACTGGCCTCAGGCCAAATGTCTGTTTTACTGATGGTCTGGAACAAATGCCCCCACTTTAGAAATATATGATAGCAAAACAATGTTTCCAAAAAAAGGAACATAGATCCTTCAGAATCCTATCTAAATTAAATGTTCATTTATTTCAGAGCAGAAAAGCTACAGAACTGGCATACTGATGGCGTTCTGATGAATATATTTTTTTAGTTAGCACTTTAAAAAGTTATAAAAATCCATATGCTATCTTATTGCATAAGATAACTTGATTTGTAAGTCAGCACACAATACCCAATTACACAATATCCTGAATTACAACCAGCATTTGTCCAATTTCTGATTATCAGATGCTTATTTTTGAATATATCAATAAACGAATTTAATCATTGTTCTTTCCCTTTCTGCTTCACGTATTTGAATTCAGCTTTTAAGGTACAGAATTTAGTTTGAAATGAGGAATGAAATTTATAAATTTAAAAAACTATTCTGAAGGTCGATAGTAAAAGCTTTAAAATTACTACTGTATGAAAATGTTTCACTTTTAATGTATGAATGCCTCTATGAAATAAAGTTTATAAAATAGGAATGCCAGAGGGATGTTTGAATTAAGGTAGGCAGTGACTCATAGGAAAGCCTAGACTTGACATTTGTACCCAGTCACAATTACAAGGATCTGCTTAAAGATTTATGTTACCAGTATCCATTATCACCCCTTCATCAATAAAAACAGAAGAAATGCATAATAGGACAGTATGGTGTCTGACATACAGAAGAGGCTCAAATAGTTGAATCAATGTAAACATCTTGCACTTTTGGCTATCAAGTACCCAAATTTATGAAACCTAGTATTTAACAGCCCTGAAGGTCTAAGAAGTATTGTGTACCAAAAAGAACTTTGCTCAATGTAGCTGCCAAAGCATGTGATTCAAGTTTAATCTACACTGATGTATACACAAAAGCCTGGACCAGTATTTGGAATTTGCTATGACTCTAAAGACGATATTCCAAAATGACCCTGAAAACAGGGTATGTAGCTCAAGATCTAGCTTACAGTTAACATGATAAAATGTTCTATCTCTGTAACCTGGCATTTAAAAAAAAATTTTTTTTTTTTTGAGACAGTCTCACTGTCTTCAGGCTGGAGCACAGTGGCACGATCTTGGCTCATTGCAACCTCCGACTCCCTAAGGGATTTTCCTGCCTCAGCCTCCGAAGTAGCTGGGACCGCAGGCACATGCCACCACACCCAGCTAATTTTTTGTATTTTTAGTAGAGATGGGGTTTCACCATGTTGGTCAAGATGGTCTCGATCTCCTGACCTCGTGATTCGTCCGCCTTGGCCTCCCAAAGTGCTGGGATTATAGGTGTGAGCCACCACGCCAGGCCCAAAAAAAATAATTCTTAAAGCTAAAATTAAAAATTTGCAAATTCTCTTCAAATTCATGAATATTACTATGACACACATACCAATTAAATGTTTGAAAGGCAGCTGATGATCTCGAAGGTTCAGGTGTGCAATATGTCCAACTCTGCTAAACCCTGAAGTTACATCTTGACCTTCAGGAAGCACAGCTCTCAAGATCTCTTCTGACTTAAAGTTTTCGTATGTTAGTTCCAAATTATATTCAGAGATCTGTGGATTGACATTTAACTGCTCTAAAACACTGAGTTCTGCTTTCTCAAAGGAATCATGAGTAAACATTTTATAGGGATCCAACATGATTAGTCTACTTTCTTTATCTTCTGGATCTTCAATTACACGTTTTATACCTGGGCGCTGCAATGCTGCTCTTTTAAGGGATGGCATCAATTTACTGACTACTTCTTTCCTCACTTTAAGCACTGGAATGCTGACTGTCTTTTTAAAAGCTGTTCTATCAAGTTTTGTCATGCCTCGGACATCAGAGGGTGGTGAAAACAATTCAGAGTCTCTCTCATGTGTTTCTATTTCTGGCATGGTTGAGAATATTTTTCTTTGACCCAATAAGAGAATACCAGGTGCTTTCGAAAGCGTCTGTGTCAGGGATGTCCAAGCTAGTGGAATTAATGATTTTGATTCAGTTATGCTATGGCTTTCCAGTTTCAGAAGTCTTCTTGAGAATCCAAATGGCCTCCATAAGATCCTTAAAAAAAAAAGAAAAAAAAAATTCACACACAACAGCTTTTGAGAATAAAAATCTAAATTCTACTATCTCAAATAACCTGCTAAATGCTGACAAATAAAACGTTTAGTGGTGTTTGCGAAGTATACCATCTTTTCCAGAAAAAGGTGACTTTTTCAGGAAGTCATATTAGTGGTAGATAATAGTGGTATATGTTAAATTTACACCTTCAACTCACCTGCTGCTTAGCGATCCATCAGCCATACTCATTGATCCTCTCCACCCACAATTTTCTAGATAATACATTTGGGATTGGAAGGCTGAAGTATGAGTTAAGCGTTCATCTCTAAATGAAATAGTCATTATATATGACCATTACTAGTGGCGATATTTATTAGGATAGTCTCGTGGGTGGGTGTTTATTGTGTCAGATGCCTAAATGCTTTATGCACATTTAGTGTGCAGTATTGCACCCTCATTTTGCAAATGAGTAAACTAAAGCTCAGAAGTAAGGTAACCCACCCAAAGTCTCCCAGCTGGTAAGTGGCTAAGCATGGATTAAAACCTAGTTTTGACTGACTTCGGTGCTTGTGTTCTTAATATATTGCTCTGTTGTTTGTTTTCGATGCTTTACTGCCACATGTCCTGCCTTTAACTAGAGGTTTCTGAATTCTGCGGACGAGAGTTTTGCTGAGTGTTAGATGCACAGAATCAGTTATTCACTGTCTTTTAAAATACCAACGAAGTTACTTTTAAAGGAAAAGGACCCTGTTCCAGAATCCTGTAAAGCAACTTAATTTACGCTGTCAGAGTTCAAATTGGGTCTAGCAGCTGACCAGCTGGGTGACTTTGGATAAATTACTATGAGTCTCGGTTTTCCCATCAGTAAAATGTGGCGAAAGGCTTTTGAACCTTTCCTTACTATCCAGTAACTCTGACCTAAGGTCAACACCTGGGCTGGTGGGTGACCCCGCGACGTTTCCGTGTCCAGGCAGTACGAGGCGGAGAGCAGCCCCAGGCGGACTGGTACCTCCCTTGGATCATTAGTCCCTACCGCGGCGGCCACCTTACCAAAGCACCATTCCAATACCTCGCGTCGCTCTGCAGCTGGATCCGCGAGCCGACCCCTCACCTCCCGCTCCGGTACCGCTCGGAGGTGGGTCGTGGCTGGACTGGCGGGCCTTCGATGACATCATCACTGTTCGCCGTAGGGAGGGCAAGCGTCTTTTCCTTCCCGGACCTGGTGAGGTACGGAAAGCCGGAAGGGCCGGGCTCATAGCTCCGCCTCTGGCGCGACCGACGACCGGAGAGCAGAGCTGGGGTAGAGGCTCGCAGATGGACCTGGTAGTGAGCTGGAGAGCAGCATGGAGGCGTCCTGGGGGAGCTTCAACGCTGAGCAGGGCTGGTATGTCTCTGCCCAGCAGCCTGAAGAAGCGGAGGCCGAAGAGTTGAGTCCGTTGCTAAGCAACGTAAGTGGGCTCTGTTCGCTTCCAGCTACTGACGCCCTCCGGCTTCCCTTAAGTGCCTGCCAAATAAGACCCAGAAAAGAAGTAGGACCGTAGCGGGACAGGGGAGATGCTGGAGCCTGAACCCTGGGGAATGGGGCCTGAAGGCAGCCGCCGAGATTCAGATGAAATTGGTGCGGTTATGAATGCGATAGCGGCCTAGCATAAAAGATGAAAAGCGTCAGGTGGAAGAGATGCAGTGTTGAGTGGAAGCTGCGAACATGATGGGATGAACGTCCCTAGGATTATGTACTCACTGCTGTTAGTGTCTTTGTCACCTTATTTACTCCACCAGTCTCGTGAGATCTTTGCAAGAGTCCCAGGATTTTCCTTTTGCTACTTAGTTATGGTGGAGTAATAAACATTTTAATACTGAAATTCTTAGCGTTAGAATGGAAGTGACTTGGTAGTAAGTCCATAGCACGTTCCTGACCCTAAAGCCTGTGCAGTGGCCCTTCGCTTTTTAACTCAAGTCCTAGACACTGTTCCCAGGACTTTGTTCCCAATGCTGTTTGTGGGGAAGGGGATGTTTTCAGGGATACCGCCAGAACAATGTGAATTGCCTCTATTTCTAATATTGTCATTGCAGGTATATCTGACCCTCCTTCCAGTTTGGTAGAACTGATTCATTAGGTATATAAGTAGAGATTAGTTGTGCAGTCCTGGTAATTGAGGAACAACTGTCCACAGCAGTCCCAGGTTGACTCAGCAATTCTTTAGTAATCACATGAGCTAAGGCCATATCCCTCCAATCCCTCCCCACCCCATTCCTATCCTATCTTCATCTCTTGCAGTCACAAGGTTAGTCATGTCCCTTCCTGAACCCTACCTGTCCTGGTGGAAATGATTTTCCTAAGAAACTCTAGATTCCTGGAGCTGCACTAGTGGGAGGTGGGAAGGAAACTAGTGTTGGTTAAGCAACTAGTGTGTGTCTGTCATACAAAGCCTGATGGTTCGCAGCTTTTTCCCATAACCTTTCATTTATGGAATTTCTTCATGAAATTTGAACTTCACCATCCAGACATTTAATACTACTAAATTTGTGTGCCTACAGGAACTTCACAGACAGGGATCCCCAGGTGTTTCATTTGGTTTCTCAGTGTTTAATTTGATGAACGCCATCATGGGAAGTGGCATCCTTGGTTTAGCTTATGTTATGGCTAATACCGGTATCCTTGGCTTTAGGTGAGTCTTCATATTTTGCCATGACATTTTTTTTTTTTTTCCATTTTGATAATATACTGAGAAGTAGAGAGATCAGTTCCAGAAACTGCTATTATACAATTTCTAGTTAAGTAATTTCTGGGGTTTCAGCATTTTTCTTGCTATTCTTGTTGCTAGTCTGTAGCTTGGAGGGATACTACATAGCTTCTTAAGATTTAAAACTGGGAATTTGGTCCACATTCATTTATAACCTTAAGAGGGGCATATTCATTGTGTCTGCTTGGCCAAAGTGAAGCAAAGCCATACAGATTAACTACTAAATAGCAATTTTGTGAGTGCAAATACAACACATAATTTTTTCATTCCTTTCTCTCTGTATTGTTAAGTAGTCTTATTTCACTTTCTGAGGCCAGGCCTGTGTTTTTTCCCTGTTCTTTTTTATTTTTCAGGACTTGGCTTGTAGACCAGTTTGCCCCAAATAGAAGACCATCCTGAATATTCTGTGCTCTCGTAGTACTTTGTATATTCATTCTGTTATTATGATTGTTATAATGATATGTTTGCAAATTAATCTTCCCACTAAACTGAAACCCTTTATAATTGGAGGTCAGGCAGGCAGATCCCTGGAGCCCAGGAGTTTGAGACCAAACTGGGCAAGATGGTGAAACCCTGTCTCTGCCAAAAATACAAAAATTAGCTCGGTGTGGTGGAATGTGCCTATAGTCCTAGCTACTTAGGAGGATTGCTTGAGCCAGAGAGGTCAAGGCTGCAGTGAGCCATGTTTGGGCCATTGCACTCCAGCCTGGGTAACAGAGCAAGATCCTGTCTAAAAAATTTTAAAAATAAAAAAGTCCTTTATAACCAGACCTTATCCTTAGCATCTAGCACCACCTGGCTAATAGAATGAATGAACAACAAGTTGGTTTTGTTTGTCAACAGAAGCAGACATACTGACTAGGAAATTTAAAGTGCATAGGGAGTCTCTTATAGTTTTATTTCCTGCTTTTCTTTTGAATTTTTTGTTAAGCAAAGCAACTTTTAAGTTACCCAACTTGCTTTTATTATGGAATGTATTCACAAACTTTCATTATTTTTAAAAATTAAAAACTATGTGTGACACTTTAAGCAAGACACAGTCAGAGGACTTATTTTCTGGTTCTCTTTGAAAAATCATATTTTATGCACGAGGGTCTTACATGCAGATATATACTGCTGAATGTGTGCTCATCCAGTAATATCAAGCCTCTTTTTTGATGATACTAAACTGTTATTTTGTGAAGTTTCTGATGTCGGTTTAATGACATGTATACTTTACCTCTCAATTTTGTTACTTAGTAACAAGTATTAACTGGACCACAGAGAGAAAATTTCTTCAATGACGGGAAATTCATTGGGGATAGCTCTATAGAAGCTTGTCCCACCACTGTCTTCCTGAAAATAAATGGGAAGTTATCTGTGGGTTTTCTTTCACACTGTTGGTAAGAAGTTCTCAATCATTACATTGTTTGCACATTTTTCGAACTGTGTCATTAGAGGGGTGTTAACTACATTATTTTGGTTTGGTTTGGAGAGCATGTGTGTTTAATAGATGCTAGAAAATATAGTCTAAATAAATCTTAAATACACCTTAATAAGGTCAAGGTATCTAAGAGGTCCACATCACTGGAAATAGAAGGAAGAAGGGAAAAAGAGAAGACATTGATATTGCGTAAGTAAAACTTCTATTTAGACTTCAAATAGGAAGAAAACCAGTCATAAAAGGGAAATATTACAAGATTATTTAGTGCTATTTCAGCAGTCAGCAGACAAGAATGCAAAATGAGGAAGTTTGCTTGTGTTTTAAATAAAGCTTGGTTTTTCTTTTTTGATGTTAAAATCAGAATATTTTTATTTAAATAAAATTTGATAAGTACAAAAATGTGGAAAAGTATCTTCTTCCTTAATGCACATAATTCAGTTACTTAGAGATAGTTCCTTTGAATATTTGACTGTTAAGAAATTCATTTTTGTAATGAGATACCATAAAAAAGGCAAACTTTTGGGAGGATTTGACCAGGTGTTCTTTTATGTTTTAGCTTCTTGCTGATGACAGTTGCTCTTCTGACTTCTTACTCAGTCCATCTTCTGCTTAGTATGTGTATTCAGACAGGTGAGTAAAAATACTATGCTGCTTCATTTAATAAAGCAGTCCCTTGAGTTTGTATCTACATATAAGATTGGGTGTCTCAAATTGAATATCCAGTGAGCGTACATTTTTATTAGGTAGGGTGTTTGGAATGGAGAATTTGAAAAACCAGGATATATAGACCCAATACTATGAGGGAATATCCAAGCACAGGATGGGAGGAGGTAACTAGCATTTTTGCTTGCTTTCCTCAACAACACATAACCTAATTTTCTGTAGTAGAGAAGATTGTGAGAGGATCTAAAAGATGTTCACAGGTTCCAAACCTTATGCTTATGGGGAAATCATTTTCTCTAGGAGAACACCTTCTCAGAGCTACTGCTGCCTTCCCTGCCTCCATCTGTCTCCTAGTCAGAGGTAGGGATGGCAGAATTAGCATTGTAGGAAGAAAGGTCACAAAGCTTCAGATTTATTTAGACATATTTTGGATTTTTAATTGCAAATTGAGGGTAGTTTTTCCTAAGAGAAATAAGTTTGTGCAATTAATTCAATATATTTGTATATATATTTTTTTCCATTTGGAATTTTATTATGCAATTCAGTTGCATATTGAATAAGTTCTTTTAGGATCCAAAAAATAAAAGTAAATGGATTATAGAATTACTTTTATAAGGTTTTCCTTTTATCATTAACAAATATTCTATGTTCATCAGTCCTGGCCTTTTTATCTGTCTAGTCTCTTTTATCTTTGGATTAGGTCAGCTTTGATGCCAAAATCATGGGTTTAATTCTCATATGGGTGAGTTCATTTTGCCCTGTCCAGCCTTGTGATTTTTGGATTTTAAGAAGCAGAGTAAATACACAAAATAGATAAAAATGGATGCCTTAATTCATTTTTTATTTCTATAAAACAATACCTGAGGCTGGCGTAATTTATAAATAAAAGAAGTTTATTTGGCTCACAGCTCTGCAAGCTCTGCAAGAGGCATAGTCCTTCTTATGAGGGGCTTCTCTGCTCCATCTGCATCTAGTAAGGAGCTCAGGCTGCTTTCGTTCATTGTGGAAGGTAAAGGGGAACCAGGGTGTGCAGAGATCACGTGGCAAGAGAGGAAGCAAGAGAGAGGAGGGGCGGGCCAGGGTCTTTTTAACCACCAGCACTTATGAAACTAATAAAAGTGAAAACTCATTCATTACCCTAAGGAAGGCACTGAGACTTTCATGAGGGATATGCCTCCAAGGCCCAAACACCTCAGCTTCAGCCCCACCTCCAACATTGGAGATCTGATTTCCACATGAGTTTGGAAGGGTCTGACAAACCAAACTGGAGCAGTGAGACTATTCTGTGCTGAAACGGGTGAGAGAAGCCCAGTGATATTTCTTGAGAATTTTAAGACTTCAGAATAATTCTGAAACCACTGTTCTAGTTTGTTTTCCTAAAACCTGTCTATCATCAGAAACACTCATAGATCTTTTTATTCACAGAGAGTTCTAAGCC